AGCACTCGTGGAGTAGCTCGGAATATGAATATGCTTTACAGTACAGTATGAAAAATCTTACGAAAGATTATCATCTTCTATCCGTACAAGATCAGCCATGTACAGGAGTTACTGTACCCTGACCATGATAAGCGACTGACTTTTGCTCTCACCTTTCTTGCCAGAATGGAGGTGGATGATGCTTGGCCGTGGAAAATCTTATGGGAAGACAAGGCCCACTTTTACCTGAATGGAACTGTGAATACCCAGAACTGCTGAATTTGGGATGACAAGCCACCGCATGCAGTCACAGCAATTCCCTTACATTCACCAAAGGTAACTGTTTGGTGTGGGTTCACAGCGGAATTTATTATAGATCCATTCTTCTATGAGAACATTACCCCGACAGGACCGGGAACTTCTTCTGTTACCGGAGAGAAATATCGCCACACGTTGAACAGCTTTGTCATTCCAGCACTTCAGCAAAGACAATGCCTGGGGGAAATCATTTTCATACGAGGTGGAGCCCCTCCACACATTGCTGTACGAGTGCAACAGATGCTACGACAGAAATTCACAACAGAAAGAGTCATTAGCCGCTACTTTCCAACTGCATGGCCACCTTGGTCGCCTGATCTTACCCCATGCAACTTCTGGCTATGAGGTTACCTTAAATCCAAGGTCTATCAAGGAGTGGTCCAGGACCTAGCTACGTTGAAGGATAACATATCACGGACTGTACGGGAGATTCCTGCAGACATGTTACTTTCTGCTGTTGTGCATACTGTGCACAGAATGCAATATGTGGTCCACAACAACGGCAGCCACATTGACCTCATTTGAATGCAAAATAAAAGGTAATTTCTGTATTGATTTGCATTTGTTAACACTCTATTTTCTATTACACAGCGCCAAATATTCCCCTAGCGGTGACTTTTGGAACTAATTTGATTTTTCGCGGAATCCTTCGTCCCCCGTCTTGTTTAATCTTCCTATAAAATGTGGCATCATTCTCGCAAATAGATCGCGCTACAGAAAACTGTGAGCACTGTCAGTTTAATTATGGCCACCCGGTACTTTGCCATAATCTAATACAATCAATATTTAAAATATCCAGAAGTCAAACAACAAAAATCAGCGTTACACCTACAAAATTTTGTAGGTGTAACGCTGATTTTTGTTGTTTGACTTCTGAGTATTTATTCGGCGTGTTTATTCTGTCTTAATTTAAAATATCATTTACTTAAAAGTATTTTAGAAAAAAAAATGGATATAAAGAAAATTATTTTGTTTATTTAGAATATTTGCTATTACCTTTGTAATTAATTCATAATTTTTATTAATATAATCATGAATTAATTATAATAGCATTTATAATTAATTATAAACTAACTTCTACTTTAGTACTTTCCTTTAAAAAACTGAAAAAATAATCTGAAAAGTGGGTCATTATACTAGAAAGAATTTATTGTATACCAAACAGAAGGAAATGTACAATCAGTTCACCCCAGTTCTAAGTCCAAATTAGATCTGTGGCCACAGATCTAATTTGGACACATAAATTTTACATTAAATATGATATGCAATTAACCTGACATGAAAATGTACCATACATAACATCTATAACAAAACGTAATACCTACAACAAAGTTTTTAACAGGTAATTAATCTTGTAAGCAATTCAGACTAAGCAAATTTTATAAGCCAAGTTACATCTTATCATTAGCTTATTTAACAAAAATTTTTTGATTGATTTAATTTTTTTAAATAAATGTGACTCCAATTGAAACAGAAATTGGTAAAATAAATAAATAAACACAATACAATAAAAAAAAAATCTGAAAGTTTTCAGATTTTATTTTACAACCAAAGGGCCTTTTTTCAATGTTTTGAATGTTACCTTTATTTATTAAATGTCATGTTCTTCACACTTAAACCATAATATTCAGTTCAACAGCAATATCAGAAAGTAATTTTAACCCGTAACAGGAGACGTGCAGTCTGACGGACCGCGCCACATGTTCTTCTCATCACCCCTATTGCATGCTTTATCCAATTGAATGAATTCTTCCCCTAGCTTCATGTTTCGTGACCTTCTTTCTGACCCCTTCTTATCGGAATGCTTTGGCAAGTGTATCTGTTGAAATTCTTCTAGAGCGGTCTGTGAGACCTCACCTCCCTCTCGGTGTTACAATTTTCGGCAGTAGTGAACACATGGCTCTGAAGTTAGGTCCGCGGAGATTCATTTATCCTTCTGATCCACATTATGCAGAAGAACTGAAAAAAATTTTAGACGAAAATGGAAGTGATTTTAGGGAAGAAGATGACTGTGAAGAAAATTTCTGCGAAAATGCCCAGACTCTGAATTTTCTGCAGACAGCAATGATTTTCTCTGATCTAGAAACAACTAATTCCGTAAAATACTACTACGGAAAAAATAGGTTCAAATGATCATCCGTTGAACCAAATCGAAAAGTTAGAAGCCCAGCTCACAATATCGTAAGACTTCCTGGACTAAGACCTTACGGAAAAATTGATAATTCATATCCCAAAAATGTATGGCAACTACTTTTTACTGACGAACTTTTAAGCATAATTATGAAATGGACAAATCTAAAAATTGAAAGAAAATTTAAAAATATATGTGGTCTGATTAAAGGTGAAATTGACTACACCTGTGTTGATGAACTGAGAGCTCTTTTCCAATCAAATCCAATCATGAAGATATTGAATGTTTATTTGCCACGGATAGAACTGGCCGCGAAATTTTTCGTGCAGTTATGTCGATGAGACGTTTTAAATTTTTACTTTCAAATTTGGGATTTGATAACCCAGATGATAGGAAAAAAATGAAAGAAATCTGATCCGGCAGCACTTATTTCTGAAGTGATGAATTTATTCATTTATAACTTCCCAGAAAGCGTACACATTAGGCACTTGCATCTGCATTGATGAAATGCTTGTTGGATTCAGAGGAAAGTGTTGCTTTAAAAAATGTATATGCCTCCAAAAGCCCTGTGAAATATGGATTAAAAGTTATGTGTGTGTTGACCGATGCCCAGAATAATTATGCTTACAATGCAATATCTTTATTGTGGAAAAGACTCTGGATGGAAATAGCATAGAAGAGAGTTGGAAAAAATTCAGCAAACCAAGTCAAGCTTTTCTGCGTTTGAGCAAACCAATTTTTAATATGAACAGGAATGTAACAGCAGACAATTGGTTTTCTTCCATAGAACTTACCACAGAATTGTTGAAAAAATGGACTGACATACGTTGGAACTGTTAAAAAAAAATAAAAAAGAAATTCTGAAAGATTTTTTCCCATGTAAGTCAAGAAAAGAGAATTCAACATTGTATGGATTTACTAAGGACATATCCTTGATTTCATTTGTTCCAAAGAAAAGGCGAGCAGTGGTTTTGATGTCATCATTGCATCATTCGATAGAAACAGACTCAGAAACACAGAAACCTGAAATAATTGCTTTTTATAACAGAACCAAAGGTGGTGTTGATGCTTTAGATGAAAAATGTTCTGTCCATTACTGTAGTAGGAGAACAACGCGTTGGCCTATGGCTCTTTTCTACCGATTAGTAAATATGACTATAGTAAATGCATATATTTTGCACCAAGGTTATAACCAAAACCCTGTTATGACCAGAATGGTGTTTTTGAAAGAATTAGTGAAAGAATTAGTCCAACCACTACTACACACGAGAGTGAAAAATCCAAGAATAAATCGAGAATTGCGCCTGACGATAAAATGGATTTTAGGAAAAGAAGCTGAGTCTAAGGATTTGGAGCACTGCACAAAAGAAGCTGAGTCTAAGGATGTGAAGCAGTGCACAAAAGAAGCAAAATTAAAATCAAGGAAAACATGTCGTCTGTGCTTCCCCCCAAGCAAGAAAAGAAAGACAGCATATTTATGTTTATCTTGCCAAGACCCTGTTTGTTTGGAATGCACGCAAGTTATGCAATGAATGTACTAAAGAAGACGAAAACTAAATTGTTTACTATCAGAAAATCAGTGAGATACTGATATTTCAGGTACTGTCAAAATTTTCTGTATTGTGCTACATACAATTTTCTCTGGTTAAAATTTGCTTTAAATATTAAATAATATAGATAAAATAGTCAATTCAAAATAGATGCATTCTTATTTTTAGTTTTATAGAATTAAGTGCAGCATATGATTTTCATCACATAATTTAAGGCTATGGGGAAATTTTCTGGGAAAAATTTAATTTCACTTTAAAGTGTAAAAACATATTTTCTTTTCAGAGTAAAATGTTCAAAGAACATTTAAGTGAAATATCATGATGATATTTTAATTAGACGATTTTTAAAAATTTATTATAATGCGCGGTCTCTTAGACCGCACGTCCCCTGTTATGTTCAACTTTTTCACCTCCCCTGTTACGGGTTAAAAGAGCATATGTTTAGAATTTTTGATACAAAGTGCCGCGTGCTGGAGATAAAAATGTCCCCCCCCTTCCGGTACAGTGTTGCCATTACTCACTTTGATATCGTTGAGTTTGTTAATCAAAAATTTGTTAAAGTTTTACAAAATATGAAATAGATAATAAAACAAATTCCAAATTTGGGCTTCTAGATGCCCATATTTAGGTACAGGATTATGTTATTCAAAATTTTATGGCTCTAGGTACCATTGTACCAAACACACATACATTTATGCAGATTCATCATTATTTAAATTTGTTGTCCTACGATGGCTTCTTTACTCTAAATATTGGCCTCTGAACAACAAACGTAGGACAACAAAATTCTTTAAGTATAATGTAAGGCTCTAACAATTGGTGGCAACAATTTGAAAAGTGATGCACCGTTTATAAGTGATTTGATGGAAAATGCCAAAATGAAATTAATAGCCCTTCTGGGCTAATGCCATTTGGGCTTTAAAAAAAAAAAGAAAGAAAGAAAGAAAGAAAGAAATCACTCAAAATAATAATTAATGTTTAAACACCATTATTTTAATATTTAAGTATAAAAAATATGTAACCTTTGATTTTTGAAGGAAGTTCAAAAGTTTCAATGACTTCTCCTTTTTTATCACAGGCATTAATTCCTTGCAGTCTTTTCTCCCAGAAAACCTTTGAAAATAAGGAAAATAGAAACTAATTTTCTTCAAAAGATGTAAACTTTCACAAATGCTCAAAATAAATTAGCAAAAAATAATTTCTTCATGCAAAAATTTTTAAACTGACAGTTTAAAAACTGAATTTTTAAAATTCAATAAAATAAAAACTTGACCTCTTGAAGATTACAAGCCATAATTTTATTTATAGTTTATACATAAAATACAAACTTGTTTTGGTTTTTCTTGAGTGCCATGAGTAATATCTGTACGAATTTTTGACTCTTGATTCTTAATTATTGTCACAGACTGTTTGAAGATAGATGCAGTTTGACGTATGGGTAAAACAATGGATGGACTAATTTTACTTGGTTCTTCCTTTTCTTGAGTTTCACTTTGGTCCCTTTTCCTTTTTGTTAACAACATGTTTCAACATACCTCATGCATGCATATAACTTCAGTGGGAATGAGTGAACCTGAAATTAAATAACTCTTAAGTATAACTTTATTTAAATGACTTCTAAATTTCATATTTGTTAATTACGTAATGAAAAGTTTTTTTGAATAATATTATCAGTGCACGGTATTAAGCTACACAAGCTATAGCTTAAGCCCCCCCACTGTCTTGGGAGGCCCCCAAAAATTTAAAATATTAGTATAACAGACTTATAAAAGGCCCCATATTTCAAGTAGCTTAGTGCCTCATCAAGTCTAAATCTGGCCCTGAATATTATGGACATTGTTTACTTTACAAGCATGATTCAATACAATTTTAATTAAAAAAAGACTTATTATAGTGTTTTACACAACACAATCTTCTTGTGTTTTGGTTTTAAAAAAAGTATCCCAGTACCATACTTTTTATTTCAGTTTCTGAAAGTACTAAGGATTATTATGAAATGAAATATTTTTTCCAATAATGAGTACTTTCATATTATTTGTAATTTGTTTCAACATTTCATAGAATTGCCTCTTCAGCATGCATGTAACAGTAGTCAAACCATACATGTATGTACCCAACATTTGTTTGACTACCTAATTTATCTCACCAAATTTACTTGGTAGAAGACTCAGCAAGCAAAAAGTAAGACTGTTTCAAAGAAATTTTTAAACTCCCCAGATGATAATTATCTACTGAATATAAAAATACAAATATCAGTCATACAGATTTTTTATTTTCTGTAATAAACTTTATCATTTCTTAAATATGTTTTTGACTTCTATTTATTCACACTGCTGTACAAATGAGCAGTAAAGATGGCCAAACGAATACTTTTTTCGAATCGCTAATAAGTTGTTTTCATGAAAATGCATATAATTAGAAAGTACCAATTAATGGTCATATGATATTGAACTTGAAAAACTAAACACCAAAACCTCAAGAGTTATAAACAAATTTGATTTTCCTATCTCCTTTTTCATAAACTTTTCCTAATAACATAATAATCAAATCAGATTTGAAGAGTTAAATAAATTGTCTCCACCTTTAAAAATAATATTCTATTAATTATTATTTTTTTTTTTTTTTTTAACGTTTTCAGTGGAACACATCAAATATTTTTGCAAGTTCGACTTCTTTGTACTTTGTAGTAGTGTACTGAAAATTAGGTTATACTTTTGTATTATGTAAGTGCATTTGTATCATGCATGTATAATATTATACTTTCTATACTAGTATAAATTATATTCAAGTAAGATAAAAAATATGAGAATATAAATTATAATTTAAATTAGCGATAGCCCCTTAAAATGCTGTTTTAATTTGGATATTTTCGCTCTCTTGTCTAAAAATAGTAATAACTTTTTTTTAACCTTACACACACATATATAATTTAATTACCATAACTGAGCAATCAAGCCATAATATAGATTTAAAAAGTCCTTTAGTTACTATTTTCATTAGCGATTCCACCTAAAAAAAAAAGATACGGAAATGCTGTGTCTAATGATTTCTCTGGTGACCAGAGTTTACATAAAATGTTTGAAAAAGGAGGCTATGAGATTTATTTCATTAAATGTTAAACCTAGACTCCCTATCCCAGATTCTCAATATCATGTAAAAATTTTTATGAAAATTATTTAAAGACTTACTGACAGACACTTGCAAGCTACTCAGCTGGGCAATTTAGTATTTATATATACATATACGGTCTACTATGAATGGTATGTTTTCAACTAAAAACCAAATAATGATAAATTTAAATATGTGCTTTATAATTATTGCTTCTTGTAACATATTGCACAATAAAGCTTAAGTTGGATAGCAGAAAAACAATTAGTGAAACATTGATGCTTCTTTGAAATAAACAAATTTCTACTAGTTCTGAAAATAATAAACTAACATTAAAAATATAATGACTATTTTAAAATGATAATTTTTACAGAAATTTTATATGGAACAGATTCTGTTTCATAGGCAACGAAAAGCATTTTTATTTATTTGCTTTCCCTTAATCACTTTATCATTTTTAAATAAAAATGTGTATACGTAAGCATAAATTAAAGATATAATTACTATTGCATTCTACGTTGATTCAATATTTTTCTTTAGAGAAATATTATTTTCGAAATATTAATTTTCAAATATACGTTAAGAGAGGGGGGAAAAGAAATGCACGTTCAACTTAATGCTATACGTTAACATTTATCTGAAATAAATTTATGTCATATTACAACTGTATTTTATTTTAAAAAAATGCAATTTTAGTGAGCTCATTTTGTCCTAACAGTAAATGTATTTAAAGGACTTTATGAATTAAGAAACGCCCCCAAACCATACATAACATTGATTCATTTTCATTTACTATGTATATAATATAATTTTAATAATTAATTTTAAATACATAATTTGTTTATATACAAAATTTTTCATGCATTCAAAGAAATATAAGCACCAAAGAAATATTATTCATACCATATTCAAAGAAATATATGTTGTTTACGAGCTTCAACGGTTACAGTTTACAAATGAAATAACCTCTAAAAGATTATCAAAATTTTTTTAATTTAAAATACCTCTTACTTTAGAATAAGTCATAAATTTTAATGTAACTTTAATTTTTCATTTACACCTAAGTAGTTTAATATCACTCTTTTAATATTTTATTCTCTAATATGTTTCATTAGGCTTTAAAAATCAGGATCGGTTAATCATAAGTTAATCATAATCCCTCACAATTTCTACCCGAATTGGCATCAAGAAGCGTTGTATTTGTGTGCGATACACTGTGTTTCTGAAACATGGTAAGAAAATATAATCTTTTTTGATCTTAATAATAATATTCTTAAATTTTAATTGAATTGTGATATATCTAATGTTTATATATAAAGTTTCTAAATCGTAATTATATTTCGTGACTTTCATATAATTTTATGTAGGGTTACTGGTAATATTGAGCAAGCAGTGAAAAACGTATAGTGTCGGATAAAACGAAAGCACATAAATGTAAACCTAAAATTAATCAAGATTCAACTTTAAAGTACAGTAATGATTTCCAGTAATAATAGTATTGATATGATGACAATGATAGTTTGACAGTAATGATTTTCCTTCATAGAGGAAAAGGATGAACGTTAAAGTAACTTAGAAGTGTAGTTTCCCTGTGAAAAGTAATGTTTTTATAGTTTATTATGTTAAAATTGTTAAGAACAACTTAAAAAATTTAAAAATCAGGTGGCCTATGAAATATATTATCTCTTGAAAACTGGATAATGTTCATAATTTGTAACATCATTCTAATGCAGTTTCTTAAAACTGTGAGTCGCTTTACCTGCGGCAGGGAGTCGCCAAAAATTTTAGTAGTTTTGATATTTATAATAATTTTTCGCAATGTGTCTCAAAATGGGTATACATACTATAAGACAATACAGATGGAAAAAAAACGAAAACGTTTCGACGCATTCATTTTGTAATAAAAGCGTTCATTTACTTGCTTTGCACGTGACGCTGTCATTTCGTATGTTACTTATTGAAAATTTTCACGTTGTCCGATGAGTTAAAATTAGAAATTAAAGTTAATGACCTAAAATTGCGGTGAAAGTGCAGAATCGCCCACTGCTTGGCGCGTTTTTAAGAACTGCACATACTCGGTATCCATGTGCACATCGACCTATTTTCACTTAAAAACTCCAGAATTCACAAATGGCATTGTGCACTCCCTTAACTTTATCCATGTACACATCGACCTATTTTCACTTAAAAAGTCAAAGAAAATTGACAAAATCCAATTCTTACTCTTGTCAAAAGTGCCAAACAAATATGTGGGCGATTCTGCCCTTTAGCCAAAATTGCAATGTTATAATTATAGTACAAGTAAAAAAATTGACAGTTTCAATCACGCGCGTGTCGGATTTGCGCATTACTTACGGGGTCGCAACTTTAAAAAAGTCTAATGTATATGTTAAACTAAAATTCATGCCCTGGTCTAATGCAATGTTTTGCCCTATTTTAAGGATTTGTTGTGTTGAATCTGTTCAAAACAAATTTAAAAAAGGATATTTAAAAATCAGGTGGCTAATAAAATATTCTTTTGTTGGTTTTTGAAAACTGGATAATGCTTATGATTAATAATTCTTATATTGGTTGATTTTTGTTACGTTTAGGGGCGTGTCAGAACAAAAACTGTGAAGAAAGCTTCTCGTGTAATTATTGAAAAATATTATACACGACTTACCTTGGACTTTCATACAAACAAAAGGATATGTGAAGAAATAGCAATTATACCCAGTAAGAAACTGCGCAACAAAATTGCAGGGTATGTAATTAAATTCTTTCCTATTTATTCTTATTTATTAGCATAAGTAAAGAGTATTTACAGTATATTGATAAATTTATAGAATGTTGACTTAATGTGATTATATTTTAACATTTTCGTGCATTTCTTAACTGCAGAATATATTATCAAAGAAATATAACTGAATTTAACTAACTGTATTCCATTACTAAAGCTGCATGATATTCAGTTCTCTTTTTGAAATTTACATTGATTGAAAAAGCTTAATGTTATTTAAGGGAAGGCTGCCTTCATTACAATTTTTCTGTGAAGAGAGGACTCTTGTTTTAGAAAAATTTTAAAAGCCTGTTCAGTGGATATTAGCACAAATTAAAATTTTGCTTATTTTCAAGTATGTATGTAATTCTTGTATTTAGTATGTTAAGCATATTAAAAAGAGATTAACAAAAAGTAAAATAAATATTGGTATTTTTATTGAAAAAGTTTTCTTATTTAATATTATAAAAAAGTTTAAAACAAACTTGTTTATCTATATCAAGCATTTTTTTTTTTTTTTAAGACTCTTTATGTCCCTTAAAAGGGTCCACTTTTTTTTTCCCCTTTCAAAAACCTGTGCATTTAAACACTTGCGCTATGACTAAACTTTACGGTTGCGGTGCCGTGCGCTATAATATAAGAGCAGTAAAGTGTCTCATTTACGCCGCTCCACGTCTGCAAGTGCACTCCAGAGCTGTAATTCGAGAAATAAACGGCCACTGTTAACACTGGGACGTATGTGTTCCAGTAAAACACAACAATGGGACACACATGTCCCACTGATAATTCCCCTCCCTGTGATTTATTTTTTAACATATTATCAATATGTATATTGTACTTGATGTAGAAGTATTTAAAGTCAAAAGTCGTTAATTCGGACATCCATAATCCGGACCTCAACCATAATGATGGCCATTGTTAGACGGCGTGTGCACCACATTATTTTCATTATTGCGATAAATACGTATCGAATTACTGTTCTTTCGCGGTTTGAAACAAAAGCATCTCGACGTGCGTGCCACATCTTTTTAGTGTAAGTGGTTAAAGAAACTGCAAGACGTGTGTTACCTTTAAAAGTATATTTAACAGGTACCCCTTGGTGAGATTTGTCGGCATATGGATACCGAGTTTGTGCAAAAGAAACAAACTAATAAGTAAACAAATTGCAGCACAAACTAGGCATTACACACTCCCTTGACTTTATCCATGTACATGTCGACCTATTTTCACTTAAAAAGAAATCGGAGAATTGTGTGCTTTTGATTTTTTACACATCAATATATTTTCTCCTAAAAAGTCAAAGTACCCAATTCTAGGTAAAAGTATATTTATGGAACATTCAACTACTCAGGTTACCATAAATGAAACAAGTACGAGGGGTACCCTTCAATCTACCCTAAGTGAATATAATCTTTAACCCTTTCACTACCAATATTTTTTCCTAAGAAAAAATAAAAATACATCAAAGTCGTTACCGGACCATCTGGACTTGCTTTCTGGATTATAGATCATCAGTTTAAATCTTGTAAGATGGCATGCAGAAATTTAAAATTAAAAAGATGAACCGTAATTTATGAAATAAAGAACAATTATGATCTAAAGGGTATCAAAATTTACAAAAAAAAAAAAAAGCTTAATATTTATTTGTTTACTTTATTAAACATTTTTCTTTCAATGTAAGTTGTTTAAGTTGCTTCGTTTTTTATGTGATAATACTTTCTCTTTAATTCTATAAACAGACATAATTTCTTGTTTCAGTTAAAAGTTCCGCTGTTCAAGTCCTATAATTGCTTGTGGAGAATACCGACTAATTTGTGAATCGAAATTTTTCGTTTCAATAACCTCTGTGTCACTTTCTTTGCTATCGGAAGAATTATAATACGAGGAATTTGATTTATCATATCAAGGACGGAGTACATCGAGATGAATACTACATTTATAAGAATTATAAGCCAAAAAAAAAGCATCGCCTTGAAGATAAGATAGTGCTGCAGATCAACTTCCAATTCATTGCTGCACCACCCTGGCATTAAAATAAACAATTTAGAATGGTTAGAGAAACAAAGGATATGCCTTTATCATTTTTGCAGCAATTCATTTTTGTTGAGGAATCGACATATTTTTCGCTTTGTAGATCC